GGCCATTCTCTTTGGAGGACGACGTCCCGAGGGAGTTCCTCTCATCTACGAGGCCTTCGACTGGAAACACGGCGTTCTCGTAGGCGCGGCTATGCGATCCGAGGCCACCGCCGCAGCAGAGCACAAGGGCAAGGTCATCATGCACGATCCTTTCGCGATGAGACCATTCTTTGGGTACAACTTCGGCCACTACCTGCAGCACTGGCTCAGCATGGAGACACGCACACAGAAACCCCTTCCCAAGATCTTCCACGTTAACTGGTTCCGCAAGGACGAGAAAGGCCGCTTCATCTGGCCTGGTTTCGGGGAGAATGTCCGCGTTTTAGACTGGATCCTCAGACGTATCGATGGCGAAGACGTAGCCGAGGAAAGCGCCGTAGGTCTCCTTCCCAAACCCAACTCGATCAACATGTCGGGACTAGAGGATCAAAATGTCGACTTGGACCAGCTCTTCAGTCTCCCCAAAGACTTCTGGCAGCAAGAAGCCCGGGCCATCGAAAAGTACTTCGACGAACAAGTTGGGGACGACCTTCCCAACGAGGTCAGGGAGGAGCTTAAAAAGTTGGACAAGCGCGTCGAAAAGCTTTAAGTGAAGACGGGATTATGTGCCTTTATCCGCAACAAGTACTTGAAAAGGCCGCTTTGGAAATCAATGTCAAAACACAAAGGTGGAAGGTAACTTAACGTCCAGTAATATACATAAGGAGGGAAATCTCGTCAGTATTGGAATTTACATCTTGCATTTTTTATCCTCCGAATATTCAGGTTTCTTTCCAGTGGTTGATCGTAGTTGTCATTCTTCTGTTTAGGTTAATGAGTAGCCTCGATGCTTCCAGGGATTACTGTCTGTTAAATCAAACATATCCTTATGCCTTTTTATAGAGATTTATCGATACTTGGATTTATTGCTAGTCACAATAAGATGTTAATGACAAGAAGCTATGACCCTCGCTTTGCATGAATCAGGAATATTTGGGTCATTCGTTGAACGTGTGTATATACCTTATGAAGACCAACTTTACATTGTGATTATCAATAAACGATTGCCAAGGGATTTTCTGCACAGCATATCCACTGTCAGTGCAATACTTTGTCCATTAGTCGTTTCTTGGATATGCCCACTTTAGTTTTCGCTCGTCAGCTGTGCTGACGCGATTCACTGCGCTGGTTTTACTGCGCATGCTTGAATTTGTGATACTGTCTTCATATGACATATTGCTTATTAAGAATAATAAATTGTTATTTTTATACCTGTTAATTTCTCGTTTCTTTTATTACCTCAAGTTAATAATGAAAATTAGCCAATGTAATTAAAAATATGTCAACCAAACTGAAGCCAATTAAAAAAACACAAATGAAAGTTAAAAATATGTTGATAATCTGAAGCATGACAAACAAAGAAAACGAGCAAATTAGGAAATGAGTACCAATGTATATATTAAACTCATGCTTCTCATGGCAACAGACAAAATATCCAACAAACCTTTACAAATTCTTTAAGGTTAAACTTAACATATTTAGTGATAAGATACTGTCACACCACTTCCAAACAACGAGGTATATAAACTGCAAACATGGCTTACAAGGAAAACAGCGAACACACGCATAAACAAATTAAATGCATTTTATATCATTTGCATTCGTTAATGCGAGAGAGAAAATACATACACACACACACACACACATATAAATATATATATATATATATATATATATATATATATATATATATATATATATATACATATACACACAATATATATATATATATATATATATATATATATATATATATATATATATATATATATATATATATACATATACACACAATATATATATATATATATATATATATATATATATATATATATATATATATATATATATATATATATTATATATATATATATATATATATATATATATGATATATATAAACCAACCAACAAACAAAGATAATGCACATGTGATAACCTTTCTCCAAAGCCAATTTGGTAAATGTTAAGTGGCCGTATACCTTGAGAACCATTTTCCTGGTGGGGAATGTCCCAGCCTCGCTCGCCGGATCACTCCACCGTTAAGTTAGTTGCCTTATGGTCATAATCGTCATTAATTCACAACAAATATTAGGCGTTTATAATATCTTGTATACAATACTGGATGTGACTGATATCAACAGCGACAACAACAATGATTACATTAGTAATTATGCCGATTATGATAATGGGAACTTCGTGTATCACAAAATCATTTGAAACCCCTTCGGCATATATCCAACAAGACAGAAAAAACATGAACGAGTTATTTCGCAATGCAGGATATAATTGTAATTACGTAATTATATACCAGCTTTAAATTAGTAATAGGCCATTCGTTTGCGCACGGTGGGTCAGGGAGACCACGAACATTTTCTAGACAGTTAAAAAAAAAATGAAAAGAAAAGAAACGCAAAGTAAAGCACGTTCATCTGTGGAATCCTTTTTTCAGCATCTAATGAAGACGAAATAAATAAATAAGGATAAGTCCGATATGCGAAGCTTAGCCTCGGCCGGGCTATGCCCATGAGGGGAGCCCGGCTTCTGTCGACTAATACCGACTCGCTAACGTGTGTCAGCTGTTGCTGACTCGGCTGAGCTTAGTCCTTACCCGGCGTGGTGAAAAAAAAAAAAAAAAAAAAAAAAAAAAAAAAAAAAAAAAAAAAATAATAATAATAATACTGACCATCGGGGTTGACTGGTGTGGTGGACACACCGCAATATATATTAATTGGTAGATTTACTGACATTTATTTTGAACAATTAGTATGCTGTAAATAACGTAATTAATTGCTATTTGATGTCTTCTTGTTATTACGCTTGACTAGTTATGTCCTTTCTACTTCGGAAAATATAACGTAAGTAAGAAATCTCCCCAATAAATGTTAAGTTTTCTACGATAACAATAAATCGCCCCCGTTTTCTGTTATCAATGAAATTTGAGGGTAAACTACTTTTGAATACTGTGGATGCTAAATGCTGAGAAGAAAATAATACAAATAAAATAAAAATAAGACGAAAATAGAAATTAAAAGAAGAAAAAAAGAATAAAATAAGGATAAACATCTGAATAAGAATGAAAAGAAAGAGGAAATATGTTCCATGACATGAGTTACTGATATATAAGTAATTCTAATTGACTTCCTGGTGATATTGAAAAAAACAAACAAACTTTTTTTCAATGTTTAATGGATCATTGTTGAAATCGCCTACTCATTATTCATGGTTTGCTTTCTGAACTTATAATGTTAAGGGTCTGGTTTACTTTGTAATTGAAATGAATAATATTTTTTTGGTCTTTTCTGTAAATAAAACCTATTAATATCCTTAGATTATCTGTAACTGTTTCTACAAATATTGATTCCAAACATTCTTTCTTCACTGTCAAATCAGTTCTAATAGTTAAGTACTAGTGTGAAGGTATAGGACTGCACCTCCATTTACAGTAGATCTATTATGCAGGTTATAATCTAAAATATTATTTACATGCTCTGTTGACAAAAGAAAACAATTGTGGCATTTCCTAGGGGTAAAAAAAAGGATATATAAAGGAAAAGGAAATGGAAAAGGAGAAGAAAGGGAGGAAAAGTAATAGTAAAACGAAAAAAATAATTAAAAAAAAGAGACAAATAAAAACAGAAATAAAAATTGAAATATAAATAAGTAAAAATAAAAATAAAAATACACAAATATAAATTTGAAAAAGCAAATAAATACGATAAAAAGATAAAAATAAAGCAAAAACAAACACAATATAAAAATAATGAAAAGAGAGATAAATAAAAAATGAAAAAAAGTAAAAATAAAAACAAAAGTAAAGCAAAAACACAGAATAAAACGAAAAAAAAAAAAATCAACAAATGGCAAAAAGATGAAAGGGAGATGCACGTAGGGAGGAGGCATTGTAATGACGCTCGGTCTTTGGTGTACAGCACATTTATTTTGCTTTTAACTATTAACCAATTCATCAATGACTCTTAAGAACGAAATGAGTGGAAATGAAACCACACGCAAACAAGGTGACAACTAAATGTGTGAGGAAGCTGAAGCCCAATGTAATGTAAAAATGGAACGGTTCCCTACAGGGTGTTGGTGATGTCCTATAAAACAATGGAGCTACTCATCACTAAGCTCGCCACTGGGGGTACGAACTTATCTCGTGCAAGAATGATTCATAAAAAGAGTGGTTCCGAGTTTTCGGCGAGGATGCAGGGGTGCTGCCACGTGGTATAACGGGAATTGGAAAATGTATAAATTTCTAAATCGAATTATGATGCAGTATACTCTGTAATTGAAAAGGAAATCTTAGTGAAGGACCAAGGGAAAAAGAGTTTAGAAATAAAGAAAAGAGATTTTACTATCGTAAAAACATGGAAGAAAAGTCAGACATTTTATGTAAATTATATCTGATATCAATCACTCTAAAAGCCCCTCCCTCCCCCTATTCTGACGGTGTGCTTGCTGACAGATTTCTAGACTCTTTTCATTACGAGATAATGAGCATTGTGTAGAGGTGAACAGAAAGTGATGCGATTCGATTCATAAACTTATACAGGTACCTAAGTGAATTCCTATATTTTACGAGTGTGGATTTTGCTATGATTAAGAAAATTGAACATCAATTGTGATAACGATCCGCTCTATCGGATATTACAGATGGTAAGAACATTGAGTATTTTGAAATTAACTTGCAGCCAATATGCTTATAGATGACTTTTTCAACTAAAATTGTGGTAAATGATTTAATGGTATCAGTGGGTGAAAGGAAGAATATTGTCCTTATTCTATGAGAGCTAAGTGCTATATTTGATACTGTAATGTCATGACTTACTGTTTGAAGACAGAGACTTGGTGTAGAGGGGAGTGCATTGGTTTATCTGGAAAGCTTACGAGTAAAGCTTACGAGATCTTACAGTGCTAGTTAACTATCAATAGCTGTTCCAGTACATAAAGGAAAATGGGAGATCATGTCGTACTAAATTCATTAGACTATTATAAGATAATGTATGTGTAGCACTACAGAAATGCTTCTTAACAACTATGTCATCAATAAATTGGATTACTGCTAATCCCTCTACCATGGTTTGCCAAGTAAGGAAGTTTCGAAAAATGAAGAGAGCAGTGTGGGCTACCTCCATGTGGGAAAAAGACACCAAGTATTATTGATTTATACTGGCTGCCTGTTAAAGCAAGAATATTACCCCATAAGCTTTGTCTTCTAACCTTCCAGACTTGATGATTGATTGATAACGTTTATTTAGCCAATATACATAAAGACAGTTTGACATACACAAAATAAAAATATAATGGCTGAGCCTCCTGAGAACACAAGCTCACTTAAGGAGGCACCTTAAGGGAATTAACGTGTATTCAAATTTTAAGACAGTTATTCCACTCACAGGTAGATTGGAGATAATAAAGTAACAAAGATAAAAATATATGATGTAACATAGATAACAGAGAACAGACTTGTAAATTGGATTACGCTGTAAGAAATGATAATGTTATTCATAAAAAATAAAATAATATATTGATTATATCTATATATACGCACATAAATATATATATACATACCTACAATTTACATACACACACACACACACGCACACACAAACACACACACACACACATATATATATATATATATATAAATATATATATATATATATATATATATATATATATATATATATATATATATATAAATATATATATACACATACATATACACACACATACCTACACTTTACATACACATAAACATACATACTTATACGCAAATATATATATATGTATATATATACAAATACATACACACACACACACGCATATATATATATATATATATATATATATATATATATATATATATATATATATATATACATATACACATAAATACACATAAATACATACATATACATATATACAAATACATGTACACACATATACACATACACACAAATATATATACACACATATACACATACACACAAATATATATACACACATATATGCTTATTATTAACCTTGCATATATTTGTACATAATATATTTATAAATGTATTACATATTACATAAATGTATTACATATTACACATATCTGTATGAATGCTTACGCATATGTAAGGATTCACACAGATGCATAAATACACACTGTTATCTACCTGTCTATATACTTATACAAATTGCTTTTTACATTTGTCCTAAACACCAAAAT